TTTCACTGGGTTGTATCAGTGATGAAGATGAAACACAATGGAGATGAAACACGACGTAAGTAAAACATGATATGGATGAAACATGATAGATATGAAACACTGATGTAGGTGAAACACATCAGTTAATGGGATCAGTCATACAGTTACAGGGTTAACAACGAATAGTTAAGAAAGGAAAAGAAAGGAAAAGAAACCCCCCACTCAAGCTGTAACAGTAGGACTATAGTGTGTATAAGTCCTAGTACCAGTTAACAGTTGAAACTCCTGATCCTCAGTCATTAGGTCCCTTAACAAAGGACCCCCTCATCACCGCAAAGAGGGAGTGCTCATCAAAGTCATCGTCATTGAGGTCATCCAGGACACCCCCATGGAACGGGAGGATTGTTGAGCCAAAAAGGTAAGATTCAACTGCAAGGTTTGGAATGCCCAGTGTGGTGGTAGCCTCGCAGGAGCCTGGTGTCTGCAGACAACCGTAAGCGTTATCTGATGGATCAGATAATAGGGAACGCACCTCAGGTGTGACAAAGTTGCCCATGGTGGTATCAATACTGCTTCCCTGTCCCACAGGGTCGCGGTAGGAGAATGCAGGTAAAAGAGCACCCTCTCCATCGAGGGGGTTGGGTATATGTGGAGGGGCGTCAAGGAGACCCAGGAAGGGCTCCTCTCCAGCACCCCCAAAAGCAGTCCGAGACGGCAGATGTGACCCTGCTGGGTGTCAAGGTATGTACCCTTGACCCTAACCCTAACTCTAACCCCAAGACTCACTTGTAGTGGTAAAGGTGGTTGCAAGAGGTAAGATGAAGTCTTGTCTTGAGAGTTGTTAACTCAGAGAGAGAGTAGGATGAAGTAGGCGGGTCTTAGTTGTATAACCAAGATGTCCCTCTACGCTGGATTGCTCTGGTATTTTATATATGAGGGACCAGACCCCTAATACTACTGGTAGTACACCTAACACCTAGGATGACTGATGCTCGTAATACGCTATTGGCTACCTAAGAATACCTAGCACATGAACCATCGTCCTGTCCATGTGTTTGGTTAGTAGTCTGATGTGTGATGATCACCTAAACAACCGTATGTGTCTCTAGTACAAATGGGGAAATCTCGTGTGAACGTATGATTAGCACATTTGACCTGCTTCTGATAAGCTAGACACCTGACTAGTAACATGTCACCATGCATATCACTATCGTTATCTCTTTAGATATCTAATTGGATTAGATATAGATCATCTAGACGCTGGAGATAAGATAGGCACCATGAAATTCTGTGACACTGGGGGGTAAGGAGTGAATCGGGTGCTACTCTGGCCACCTGACTCAGAGGTCTGGCGGCTCATAGGACGGGGAGTCCTATCTTTGGTGGCGGTCTGGTGAGCTCCAGTAGGGAGGGGAGTAGTGGGGAGGTGAGACATAGGTGGGCACGTAAGAGAGATGGTGGTGGTAGGAGTTCAAGAAGCAGTGGAGCAATTCGCACTCAGATGAGCTCGCATCTTACCTACAATGAGTATGTGTTGCCATGCTACTGGTTATTGACAATCACACACAAGTCAGTTTATGTCTCGTCTACTTATAAATAAATAACTCATTTCCAGCCTTATTGCCAATACATGCCATCATATACATTGTGACTCAGGTTTTGCTGATGGAGATCTTCCGAGGGCTGGAGAGCGAGCAGCTAGGTCAGTCATCTTATATCGCGAAAGGCTGCCCACAGTAATTAGGCTGAATAGTACAGCATGTTCCAGTACACGAGTTTCAAGTCGAAACGAGTCTGAAACTCCCGCAAAAATTCTCTCAATCTCAACAGCCTCCTCCGCATTGATTTCTCTCGTGTACTTATAGACTCAGACCGTGGACGTCGTCATCAACGCTGCTGTGCTCTCTGAGGCTCTGCAACGCTCTCTCATCTCATTTCCCTCCCGCTCTCTCGCTGCTTCGACGCACACCGACCGTCCTGCCTGTTGACCGCTCCTCTCCCTCCTCGCTCCTCTCCCGCCGCACCCGTTCTTGGGGGGTCCCGCTCACGCCTTTCCGCACCCGATGTAGTCAGTCGAGTTCCTCGAGCACTGCTCGCATTATCAGCGCCCGCGTGCGGAGGTACTCACGCTTTTGCTTCAGTGACTTCTTCAGCGCACTGACGCCATGTTTCTTATAAAAAGCTGACAAAATTGGCGGCATCTGTGGACAATCCCCCGGATGCGGGCCATCAAGGATGGCGTGGTTAACGTTTTTAGCGTTCCACTTGTCCAACGCCGCCACGTAGTTGGCGTAGTTCGTTTCATCTTGTCGCCGGAGGGCCATTTCTTCTGGGGAAGGCTAATGAAATACCTGCCTATTAGTGCAATGCTGGCAAGGACAGCAAAGAGACTACACACCGGCTCGGTATCTGAAAGTGAGAAATATGTCTAGTTGCCGCGCAAGCACCACACGTGGATAGTAATACGCACGATCAGCCAAGGATCAGGTTAACAGCACGACGGAGTATCTCCCTGTGAGC